ATGATTCCCTCACAAAGTGGCACTGGAAATCTGTGAAATTTCCTCATCAACACCAGGAACAGAAACATTGCAAATCCCATCTACATGCATAGGAGCCAAAATGATCAATAAATTGATCGTGGGCCCTTAAGATATAGAAGAAGAAGAAGAGGCGCCGTCTTTTGTATTGCTATGTGACCCATGAGTTACGAATAGGCGCCGTCTTTTGCATTGCTATGTGACCCATGAGTTACGAATAGGCGCCGTCTTTTGTATTGCTATGTGACCCATGAGTTACGAATAGGCGCCGTCTTTTGTATTGCTATGTGACCCATGACTTGACGAATAGGCGCCGTCTTTTGTATTGCTATGTGACCCATGAGTTACGAATATGCGCCGTCTTTTGTATTGCTATGTGACCCATGAGTTACGAATATGCGCCGTCTTTTGTATTGCTATGTGACCCATGAGTTACGAATATGCGCCGTCTTTTGTATTGCTAAGTGACCCATGAGTTACGAATATGCGCCGTCTTTTGTATTGCTATGTGACCCATGAGTTACGAATATGCGCCGTCTTTTGTATTGCTATGTGAGCCATGAGTTACGAATAAGCGCCGTCTTTTGTATTGCTATGTGACCCATGAGTTAAAACTTGGTAAGCGGTACCACAATTTGGTTTGAGGTTAATGAGCACGATGTTTTCTTTGAAATCCACGGAAGTTAAGAACAACTGTAAATATACAACAGTCCACTACTGGTAGAGCAACACCCAAGGGTCCACTACTGGTGCAGACTTAGAGCGTTTGGTTTGAACACTCTAGGGTCCACTTACTATTGCAGACTTAGAGCCTTTGGTTTGGAATTACAATTTATGAAACATAAACAGAAGGTACAGAAAAAAGACATAACACTAAAATGTACACATTGATCTTCAAATGTTAACGTGAATGACAACCAATATATGAAGACCAACAAAATTTTAAAACTACTATAGTTAAAACTAGTTGTGAGAAAAAGTTAATCACAAACTGTTGTCCCGTATTTGGTCTTGTTGGATTGATCACACATCTGACAAAGTACATTGAAATTACCAGTAATTACGTCTTAATTAGCGCACAATGGAATATACAACATAAATCTATTCAATCAGGTGTATTTTTAAAATATGTAAATATAACGTAAACATTTTAAATTAGATATTTGCCACCAAAGTCAATTTAATTAAATTAATTTTCTTGAAGCTTGTTTAAAGAATCTGGAAATAAATACATTGGATTTAATGAAATACACAAAGGCTTTGTTTTTTTCTAGCACAGATATATCTGGAAAAGGGAGGGGGGGGGAGTTAATTTCATTTGATAAATGCAGAGATAGATTTAGACTGGATTTTTCAATTTTTTTTTTTTATGTTTCCTATCACACAACTTTTTTGTTGTATTACTTTTTATGCTTGTCGACATGCCATTGTGTGTTACAAACTAAATATAGTTAATTATGTCCCTGGATCCCGTGAGACCTCCAATTATTTTCAACGTGGTCATTCTTTGACATCGCTTAGAGGCTGCTACTCTACAAGGTCTCGGACATGAAACTCGTGGTCTCACGAAGTGAGGCACCCGCCGACTGGATGGTGTGCAATATAGCTGAGAAGTGCTGTCTGACTTTTTCCCATCGCGCTGGTTCTTTGTCAATCTCAAAAAGTAGGTCTACGAGACCTGGATAGCTGCTGCCGGCATAGGCGTCGTTTGCATTCTCTGCAAATATCATGTGTCTGGTGAAGAAGCCACAAGGATATTTTAGTAACATTCTTGTATATACTTCGAGATTATACAATATACAACGAAGGAATCATACAATCTACAGCCACGGCAGAATCATAAAATGCACAACTGCGGCGGAATCATCAAATATACAACTAAATGCAACTATGGAAGTATACAATATTCAACTACTAAAGCATGCAACATCCAAATACGGGATCATACAATAAACAACAATGGAATCACACCAAGTGCAAGTTTTTATGCAAGCGACAATGGATACATTTTCTATTTTAAGTACCGTTACTTAACAATCGACTTCCCAAAAATAGCTGGCAGGCTACATTTATTTGAAATACATTAATAAGTTTAAGTTGTTTCATTATGTACCAATTCTTCCTATAAACATCCTTTTAAATTCGCTGATTTTTTGCAAATATATTTTGCGGTTTTCTAGTCTACAAGAGCATCGTACTTTCAAGATTTTTTTAATTGTAATTTATCCTGAGTTTGTATCTTACTTTTTCAATGGCCGTGTAGGAAGACCCTCGGGGTTTAGAAAGGCCCGTTCCAGCAGTAGAATCTGATCGTTGATGGCACGTATTGCAAATGGGCTGAAAGGCAAAAAGAAATGTGTTTAAAATGAGAGTCATGACACGTAAATTTACATTCGCCATCTAGTGTTTGAATAGCATTTAGGTTGTGCTATTTTAAAATAGAGTACATTTGATTTAACAATATAATTTGTATTAACTTCTATCCACAACTTACACAACCCTTATGTTCCATGATATTCAAGCATATTTTTTAAGAAATCTTTGCAAATTATTCCTAAAATAATTCTGCTGGATGGAACAAATTAAATAGAATCATATAGATTTTTTTCCCTGCTAATTTTTTGTTCAAACAGCTTTCTGTGAAACGCTGCATTTTCAGAGCTAAAAATTAATGTCATAATTATTGAAGAAATGCATTTTAAAAATGTCAGTAAAGAACATTTTCTACACAAAGGTTTCATTTTTGTATTACTAAAAATCGTTTATTTCTAAAATTTATTTTTCATTTTTACTGCAGTGCGTCCTATGAAAATAAGCAAAATAGTAAGGCTCTCAAAGAATAGAGATAATACAATGAGAAAGTGAAAATTATGGCCTGCGAGTGATTAACAATGACATGTCTAGGAGTGAGTAGAAACTACATGCATAGGAGTGAGTAACAACGCCAGGTCTAGGCTGATTAGCAACGACATGCCTAGCAGTGAGTAGCAACGACATGTCTACGAGAGAGTAGCAGCGACATGCTTAGGAGTGAGTAGCAACGACATGTCTACGAGTGAGTAGTAATGACACGTCTTGCAGTGAGTAGCAACGACATGCCTAGGAGGGATAAGCAATGAATAAAGAATGATGAAACATTGGAAGATTTGGGAACGTGAATTCATCCCTGTGGCGCTACTGCAAATGTGTGACCTTTGCCTGCCTCATCACTTACTTCCACCCATAGTTGTCCGATGCTTTTCTTTTCCATGCTTGGCTTCCCAGCTGCTGTTGATTGTTCTCCACACCATCCATACATCTAAACCTAGGTCTACCTTTGAGCCGTTTTCCGCTGGGGTTTTTGGTGGTGCTTACGCTTCACTCTTTTCATTTGGCATTCTCTGTAAGTGTCCCACCCAGCGCAGCCAACCAATTTTTTTCAGTTCTGCTGTTGGTGCTTGATCCTGATATAGACTATGCAATTCCTGGTTGGTTCGTATCCTCCATCCATTTTCATCCTTTGTTCGTCAGTACATTTTACCTAGATCTCTCCCGTTTTTTAGGCTCCAAGTTTCTCATGCGTATCTTAAAACTTGTTTGATTACAGTTTGTTTTATTTAGTTCTCTTTATTTTAATCTTGTATTATTTTTTACTTTTGAGTAAGTAGAATACCGGAAGTTAATAAAAATGACCATAAACACTGGGCTACTCACTTGTTTCTGTCTACTGCATGGATTCTGGTCTCAAACTTTTTTACGTCTGCGGAAAATTCTTGGATAACTTTCTCCAGTGCACCTTTAAGAGAAGACGGTAGATTCAAGCTATAATGATCACATTTTATGAATTGTAAGTAGACAAAGTGAACTTTTAAACCACGACTGTCCACTTCATAACGCTCTAAACCGTGACTCTACGCTATTACTTTTCAGGCAATGAATCTCTCCACTCTGCTCAATTACTCTCCATACTCTTACATTACATTCTACACCTAGACTTACAAAGTAGTTCTTTCAAAATAAATAAAGATGAAAAGAAAGACGCTAACATTACATGTCATCTTTATCCTACTCCAGTACAGATTTGTCCACTTCAGTACATATTGTCCACTTCAGTACATATTTGTCCAATTCAGTACAGATTTGTCCACTTCAGTACAGATTTGTCCACTTCAGTACAGATTTGTCCACTTCAGTACAGACCTGTCCAATTCAGTACAGACCTGTCCACTTCAGTACAGACCTGTCCATTTCAGTACAGACCTGTCCACTTCAGTACAGTTCTGTCCACTTCAGTACAGTTCTGTCCACTTCAGTACAGTTCTATCCACTTCAGTACAGATCTGTCCACTTCAGTACAGATCTGTCCACTTCAGTACAGATCTGTCCACTTCAGTACAGATCTGTCCACTTCAGTACAGTTCTGCCCACTTCAGTACAGATTTGTCCACTTCAGTACATACTTGCCCACTTCAGTACAGATTTGTCCACTTCAGTACAGATTTGTCCATTTCAGTACAGATTTGTCCACTTCAGTACAGATTTGTCCACTTCAGTATAGATTTGTCCACTTCAGTATAGATTTGTCCACTTCAGTACAGATTTGTCCACTTCAGTACAGATTTGTCCACTTCAGTACAGATTTGTCCACTTCAGTACAGACTTGTCCACTTCAGTACAGATCTGTCTACTTCAGTACAGATCTGTCCACTTCAGTACATACTTGCCCACTTCAGTACAGATTTGTCCACTTCAGTATAGATTTGTCCACTTCAGTACAGATTTGTCCACTTCAGTACAGATTTGTCCACTTCAGTATAGATTTGTCCACTTCAGTACAGACTTGTCCACTTCAGTACAGATTTGTCCACTTCAGTACAGATTTGTCCACTTCAGTACAGATTTGTCCACTTCAGTACATATTTGCCATTTACTTAACGTTCCCGTACTGCGGCACGTTGGTGGTCATTTACTTACCGTCAGCGTACTGCGGCACGTTGGTGGTCATTTACTTACCGTCAGCGTACTGGGGCATGTTGGTGGTCATTTACTTACCGTCAGCGTACTGGGGCATGTTGGTGGTCATTTACTTACCGTCAGCGTACTGGGGCATGTTGGTGGTCATTTACTTACCGCCAGCGTACTTGGGCATGTTGGTGGTCATTTACTTACCGTCAGCGTACTGGGCCACATTGGCTTTTAGTTTTGGGCCGTAATCTTTATCGAGCACATTCCTCAAAGTCTCCAGACCCTTGGCATAGTTGGTGATGTTAAAGGGAAGTATGAGCGAGTCAGCCAGCCACCTGGCCATCTCACCGCTCAGCTGGGCCATGGCAGCGTGAAACTAAAACACATTTTATTGTTAAGTTCCAAATGTAGGATCCATATTGCATCATGTCACATCAATTTGAATACTTCAATAAAGAGAAAGGTTTGTGGAAAACCGTTTGCATAAAAGACAGTTTAATAAATATCTTAACTGAGTTTATAACAGAGGCGTAGCTAAAGGGGTGGGCAGGGGGGACATATGGCCCTGGGCTCCAGACTAGTTAAGGGCGCCAAAATGTGCTTTGATATTTTATTGAGGAAAAGAATGGCTTTGACAGTTAAAAAAAGAAAGGGAGGCGCTTTAAACTGAATCTGGTCCCCGGGCGCCAAAAATTCTGGCTACGCCTCTGGTTAATCACAAGGAACTGTTTCCTTCGTCTTTTGTTTTTAATGTATCTTGTTCAGAGAGCTATTTTATAGTTCAGGCTCTGTTAAATTGAGGTTAGCTTAACTTTTTGATAAGATTGAACTAGAAGAATTAACTTATCCAGTTTCGTATCTTCTTTCCATTAGCGTACAATGAGGGTATCCAACGTCAGAGGCAATATCATATAATCGGCTGATTATAGTTGTCAAGTAATTATGGGGCTTATTTCCTTCATTGAATGAGATCGGTGGGTCGTTAGATCGTAGTCGAGGGTTGGTTTCTATTTGCTCACCTTAAAATCCTTGTCAAACTGCTTCTTGACGATGTCAAAGATTTCATATTCCGTGTGATACAATGCGTACGCCGATACTTTGTACAGGTCCTATACAAATATATATTTATTTGTGTAAATTCTACAAATATAACATTACTTTTTACAAAAATCTACCCTAACTTTTTACATGTTCTAAGTGATTGCAGTACAATATTTACAACAATAATGTGTGTTACCGTGACTAGTTACTTAGGCAACACCGCTTTCATTAACATTTTGTACAAACTACTAATCGGTTGCAGTATTTTCATTAAAGCACTAATGTATTTTATCGTGGCTAGTTACTTAAGAAACATGACCAGCATTCATTTTTGCAATGTATTAATTTTTTTTACAGATAATATCCACAAATAAGCAAGCGATCCTACCTTGTTAAATGTGTAGGTCATGTCTAAGGCAGTTATGCCAGCTCTCTGAAGAATCGGAGCGAAGTCACTGCCGGAGCCAAGAGTTGCGATTCTGGTTGATACGATTGAGACAAATAAACGCGAGATATATCTTCAAACTGCCTAGTAAACGCTTTTTTCAGACGGTGTAACTTACTAATACAGTTACATACATAGGTAATATTGTATTTTTCATATAAAAATAATTAAAGATTATTTAAACTTATTAAATATAATGACTGGTTAATAGAAGAAGAGATCGAAATGGTGATAAGCCTATACCACTATCGAAACAAATCACGTTGATATCATAGAGATACTAGTAAAGAATAGTCAAAGTTGGAATTGTATATATTTATATAACATTCAAATAAATTGAAATGTTAAAAAAATACATTGTATGTTTTGATTTTCAGCAAATAACTATATGCATAGTTTAACCAAAACAACATTTTAAAATTATTATATTCATATATTATTAAAAAATTCGATCTTTAATTTTAACACTGAATCTATAAACACATTCATGGGGGGGGGGGGGGGGGCGTCCATTTTCTTTATTAAAATTTTAATCTTAAAAATTGACTGGTTATTACATTATTTTACAAAAATTATTAGTATAAATAGTCTTATAATTGTTCGGTTTTTAACAATATAAGATTAATTTATTGTGTGTGTGCCTGTGCACTGCAGATGGCTGGTTAGAGTCTTAGCATTCTTTGTTAGTGCAAGAGAAGTCAAACGTTAAATGATATTAATAGAGTAGGAATAGGCTATTTTGAGAATGAAGGAAATGTAAAAGGAGTAACAATAATAACATCACTGCTTGAAAATATTTGCAAAATCTTATCTATTTTGCATCACAAGTCATGTTGAAAAAGCATGTTCAACTGCACCGACAATGCCATCTTCAGCATAAGAAATTAGCACCTGCTCCTCAACAAAAAAGGATTGGACCAACGCGAGTAGCTGCATGGAGACAGAGAGAGCTTATGGCAATTATTGCTCACACCGACAATGCTTCTATTTTAAGTGCTGAATAGTTATATGAGGAAGATGTTGACTGGTATGGTATATCAGTGCCGCAAGATGAAAATTATAAGTCAGCTATAGTACGCTATGCCCATCAGGGGCGTCATTTCAGGTTTTTTTTCAGGGGAAGGGAGAGGGGGGGGGCAAAACCAAAACTTGGTCAGCTTTTTAAGTTTTTATTATTGGATAGCAATTGAAATAAAACCAGCAAAATCGAGGGAAGGGGCAAATGCCACCGGCCCTACCCAAATGACGTTCTTGATGCCCATTGCTACAATATAGCAAACCGGGCTTCTTCCTAGGAAGATGATAGCTGCTAGAAACTATGCTATAATGGTCAGCTTTACTGACAATAATCATATTTATACCACAAACAAAGCTATTTAGTCTTTAACACCTTTCAAATGATTCTGCATTATAAATTTTAAGTGCAACATTTTTTAACGTGTTGATGAACAAGCTAAAGATGTCATCAAATGTTTTCTTACAATTTTATGTGTCATTAAAATAGATCAGCACAAAGTGAAATGTATTTATATATTTATTTATATTATAATTCATTTATTTTTTATTAATTTTTTTTTTATGTTGACATAATACTTAGGGGGTCACTGAAAGTTCCACAGGTGTTAACAAGGGGGGAGGGGGGTAAAATAGCTTTAAAATTGTTGACGTAAATAATGGACGACCCAATAATACAGTCAATGCACATCCGGTTAGAATGAACACTTAAAACTCTTGAAAAATGTATATTATGTTATATGGATATGTTATGCAAAAATGCAATTTATAATAATAATCAAATTTATGTTTACATACTGTAAGATCTTCATTTATCTTACGTAACGTTTCTTTCTTTTTTTTTAGTCTTGGTGCTATTGAATATGTTTATAGATTTATAGTTTGTCTCCCGGAATTCCGATACAATAGATAATTTTAAAATTAATTTCTTTTAAAGTTTAATTCAGTTCATGGCATAATTTAAATGAAATTGATTTTATCAAGGGATTTGCCGGTAAATCCAGGGATGAGGAAAATTGTATTCTCTCTTTTTCCCGCGATTTTGTTGTTCGTCCGACGAGGATCAACGATGACCATCGAGTCGTCAGGTGGCTGATGACTTGCGCGGGTGACTTTTGTTTAAAGTGAGGAAGAGTTTGCGCGGCGTCAGCCTCTCTGGTCCGGGCCCATCCAAGGTTGCCGACCAGGGTTAACGAGTCTCATCCACCCGGGGGAGATGTTTTTGCTTGACTGCTCTTTGGATGGAATTGAACTCAAGACCACCAAGTTGAGGTTTGCTCAGTGCAGACCATTCGGCCACCCAGTCACCCGGGATAGACAAAACCCTCAGGCAATGAGAAACCCTTTTTTTCTTTGTTGCTCTAGTGGTGACTTAAGTTTGACTTAAGATCACAGTGGTGACTTAAGTTTGACTCACAAGAAACCCTTTTTTTCTTTGTTGCTCTAGTGGTGACTTAAGTTTGACTTAAGATCACAGTGGTGACTTAAGTTTGACTCACAAGAAACCCTTTTTTTCTTTGTTGCTCTAGTGGTGACTTAAGTTTGACTTAAGATCACAGTGGTGACTTAAGTTTGACTCACAAGAAACCCTTTTTTTCTTTGTTGCTCTAGTGGTGACTTAAGTTTGACTTAAACTCACTCAAAGGTTCTCTGTACTTCAGGTTGAAATATAAAACCAAAATTAGAACTGAAATTCGTTTTACGGCGTTGGGCCTTCCACTACCGTGTATGCGTCACTACTCACACAGGCACGGGGTTACCCTTGTCCTTGTCATCAGGCGTCACGTGAAGCCAGGTGTCGTACACTGTCTTGCGACCCTCCTTGACCTCGTTGGGGTTAGGGTTGGGCACCTGTAATTAATTTCGTAGGTTAAGCAGTTTCTTTTTGTTTAAAAATTACGTTTAAAATGTTCCCCATAATAATGGATATCTAATGGTGAAAGGCCACATGCGTAAATGAGTATACATTGTATCAATTAATCATTCATAAAAAAAAAGAAATTAAACATTGGTTTTTATCTACGTTAGCGGTTCCCAAACTTTTCAGTGCGACGGAGGAGTAGACAAGTTTCCCATTGCACCAGTGACCTATGAGCCAGATTATTGGTCTTTATATTGGACAATGATTATGTTATGAAATAGTTATAATCTGTTATTAGCCGATTAGTTTGGACTCTAACAAATACCATTTTATGCTGGCAGTTAGAATTATTTTTATTAAGGGCGTTTTAAAATGTAATAAATTCAAGAGCAGTTTTGTTGCTTTTAAAATATTTCTAAATTAAATTTTAATTCGGACTACAAATCAAACTTGGCTTATTCGTGCTACGTGCAAAAGGGAACAAATATTCGTTCTGTTTCTGTGTATCTCTTCATAATGTTCCATGGACTAAAAGCCCGTTTCACAGAGGTACGTTCAAGAGGGAACGGAGAAGATCTTTCTTGGAGATATGAACCCAAAAATATGCTAGTAATTTCATGGTAGTGAAAATATCATCAACCGTCAGCAACTAGATCCAACAACTTATCTTGCAAAGTGACTATTGAATCAGTCGCTGATGAAAAACATGGATTTCGGATCCATCGCTTTGATCCATCGGTTGTTGCAAAGTTGCTTAACTCATCAAAAAATTTGTTGTACACCCGATTCTTCCATACCTCTACTGAAACGAGACTTTTTCATGCCTCTTCTGACACCCGACTCTTCCATGCCTCTACTGACACCGGACTCTTTCATGCCTCTACTGACACCCGATACTTCCATGCCTCTTCTCACACCAGACTCTTGCATGCCTCTTCTCACACCAGACTCTTGCATGCCTCTTCTCACACCCGACTCTTTCATGCCTCTACTGACATCCAACACTTCCATGCCTCTGCTGAAACCAGACTCTTCTAGGCCTCTACCAACACCTGCCACTTCCATGCCTCTGCTGACACCAGACCCTTCCGCGCCTCTAAATTTCGGTTATGACCAATCTTGTCAGCCATTGTGAAGCCTGTTGAAACCTTACCTTTGACCTATATGTCGACCTCATTTAATCCTGCAAAAGACAGCTGCCGCGTAATCCTTCTTAGCTATCCACGGATTTGATGAGCTTATTTCATCTGGAAAAAGATATCTGCCTGGTAGGCAAACTTGGCTAATCCAATCCACATTACAAAAAGTCATGACCACTTTGTGTGAGTCTTTTTTTGTTCAGAAATTCTGTATTCCCTTATGGTAATTTAAAAAAAAAAAACTAAACAGGTTCCCTCTCAACAACCAAAGTGCTTCTGCTTGCAGTAGAAATTGTTTGCTCTGAGCCTCCATGTCATCAGTGATGCATCAAAAAGTTTTGATTTTAAAGCGTCCACCTTCTTCAAATTCAAGTTTTGTAAAACTTCGCTGAGCACAGTGTTCAGTTCTGTATGGTTGCAAGACTTCTACGGTGAATTAAACAGTAGATAACGATTAGGCCATTAAAGGCGCCGAACATTATAAGACAATTGTGCTTTCCATTAATTACATGTGTATTCAGTCACCTTGTCTATTTGTTGAGTCTTATCTGGCATCCCACAGAAAAAAATTACTTGCTCTTGCCAGTTAAGGCATGATCTTGTAACTTACTTTTTTTTTAGTATTTGGATAACAAAAAAATGTTTTTTTGGTCTTTCTCATTTAAAATATTCAATACTGCACACAAAGCCAGGTTCAAAGGCTCATCTTAATGCGAACAACGCAGTGGTATTTTAATCACAAAGCCAATCTCTTACTTGAAACAAAATTTTGATACGATTCTCCGCAGACCTGCCATTTGGGGAACGCAGATCTGCGTAATAGAATTAGTGCATGTCTCTGGTCGTCTGCACCAGTTAGACGAGGATTTCTTTTTGTGATCAGGATCTGGTAGGCATTAAAGAATAATGCGCGCGACTTCTTTTGCATATGCCATGACCGCAGTTCAAATATAGCAATGTAACGAATTTGAGACGTGTAGACTAGGCCATGGGGGAAAAAAACATGACTTACCTTTTTGCTTGCTTCGTACACAATGTTGTACATGAGGGGTGTAGCCCCTGTCTTAAGCGTGTCATTACCTGGTGGAAAATGAAGAGTGGTTGACTCAGACAAGATCGTTGATGGGGACATGATAACCGCCAGAGTACCACCCCCCTCCCCGACAGAGAACACCCGACAGAAGACACCCGACAGAAGACACCCGACAGAAGACACCCGACAGAAGACACCCGACAGAAGACACCCGACTGAGGACACCCGACTGAGGACACCCCCGACAGAGGACACCCCCGACAGAGAACACCTACGACAGAGGACACCCCTCGCCCCCTTCGACAGAGGACATCCGACAGAAGAGACCCGATAGAAGACACCCGACAGAAGACACCCGACAGAAGACACCGACAGAGGAAACACCCGACAGAGGACACCCCCAACAGAGGACACCCCCAACAGAGGACACCCCCGGCAGAGCACACCCCCGACAGAAAAACACCCCTGACAGAGGACACCCCGACAGAGGACACCCCGACAGAGGACACCCCGACAGAGGACACCCCGACAGAGGACACCCCGACAGAGGACCACCCGACAGAGGACACCCTGATAGAAAAATTCGTTTGAAAATATGTAAGACTCAGCCCTGGTCGTGCCGTCTATGTCGACCTGTTTATGTCAACTCTATACGTATTAAAATAATTACGGTTTTGAAGCCCATAAGCCCTTCAGACTGAGGTTTAAACAAAAATACAATCTCTCATAATGTTAGAACAACTGGTCACAATTGGGGGGGGGGGAGTGACATAATAAACTTTGGATTAAAATTTTCATTTATCATAAATCAAAAGAGAAAAACTGTTTATTTTTGCCCCATGTCTCCAATGTCGTTCTCTGAATCTTTCATTTTAGCACAGTCTCGAATTGCAGTTTCTTTCCCACTCTGTTATATCTTTTTTGGGTTGACTTTCAACCACTTTACTTTTAAGTTAAAGAGTCTCTCCACTCCCCTCTTATTTTACAGTCACCCTCATGTCACCCTCATGTCACCCCCATGTTACCCCATATAAACCCAAGTTCTCTAATTGAAATCTGTTCATTCGTACATATTCCCTCTCCCCCATCAGACTCATCTTTCCTTTATTCTGTTCTCCCACTCTTATTCTATCACTTTCTTTCTCACCCCGCCCCCTCTCTCTCCCCTCGCTCACTCTTTCTTCCCCTTTGTCCAATCTCCCCACAGATTTCCCCCATTCTTCCACACATTTTGTCATTTACCATCTACTGCGATGTCTACATTGATGTAAGCCACTGCCCTCTCTCGTAGCGTAGCCACGTATTGCTGTGTATGGGAGATGAGATAAAGATTGAGCAACTGTCTCATTTACTAATATAAAATGAACACACTTTACTCAATCATGCATAAGACTAAAATTATGAAATTAATCGTTCAAACTATCTTCACAATCTTCATAAAAATATAATATAATATTAATTTTCGAGTCTAAGACTCACCTGAATAGTGGAGGCAATTTTTCTAAGAGAAAAAATGCGTCTTATTAATCGGTAAAGTAAGGTAGTGGAAATAAATATCTGAGCCGAAAATGAAACCTTATGAGGTCGCATTTAACACCCACCCCCCCCCCACACACACACACTTATTGATATTGTTTCTGACCTCGACCCATTCAGTAGATCCTATGAGTCCGTACTCTTCGGCTCCCCAGGAACAAAACATTATGGAGCGTCTTGGCTTCCACCGACCTTTGTATCAGACAAGCAAACTGATTAGTGGTTTCTTTTTCTTTTTCTTTCTTTTTTTTGCTATAAATATATCTCGAATAAAAATAAATAAATTTGGACCTAATACAGACTTTATTGGCTTTGAAAATGTAAAAAAAAAACAACAAACCATTATGCACAGAGCTATACCGGTATAATTTTAAAGGATATTTATTCTAAAATTTTATAGAGAATAATTTTTTTTTCTTCTGTTAACAGAGTCTAAGCATTGAATCTTCTCGACTCTCTTAATTTAAATTCGTTGTTCGTGGCTCTTAAAAAGAGAAAGCGTACATTGTTAGAAGTTGTTTGAAAATTGTTTTTTAGTTGTTTTTTTTAAAACTGATCCAACATATTCATCCTTGAAGGGACATAATTAAAATTGAAATGTAAGACATAAGTCAGAAACGCAAGTGCATCAAAACGTGCTTTATTTCAAAATGAAAGAACATACGCCACACGCATCCTTGTAAGGACTTAATCGAAGCTTACATAAAAGTCACTTAAGTGCATACAAATATATGCTTTTTTATTATTCCCCCCCCCCTCTTGAATATATCGTTTGTTAAAGGCTGCCTAACGTAGTTCATAAATTCAACTTTTGATTGATTTGGTTACCTGATTGGACCAGATCTCCCATGACCCTGGCCAACTCCATTATGACAGCTGTGCCACTGGACGGGTCAATTGCCCCGTAGATCCAAGCATCTCGGTGGTTGCCAATAAGGACGTACCGATCTGGAAATGTAACATGTCCAGTAAATCAAGTGAGATCATTGAGAAATTTAGCGTATTGGGATTAATCCTAAGAGGGGGCGGGGGGGGGAGGTTATTGGGTAAGATGACGTTATTATTTATATCTAAATTTAACGACAGGGGAAGTAATGTCTGAAGGCTGGTAGCTATTTTCTTAACCCCCAACACCGAACAAAATACAATTTAAGCCCCTTTAGAGGCATGTATTTCAGGTGATATCAAATGCATTTATTCATATCCTGGTTAAATAAACACTGCATCTTAAAAAATTAAACAATTTTTACAAATCTGTCAAGATAACCAGAAAATCCGATCTACTACTAATATTGTTAAAACCAAGTATTGTGGCATTACATTCTTTCCTTTGGGTTAGCTTTAGAAATATTACAATAATATTATAGACATGATAAACATCAGCGATTTTCAAAACTTGTTAGGCCACACGTACCACTCGAGACAACAACAAGCTGCTCCAGGTGGAACACAGAATTTAAACAAAAATATTTATTTTTTTGAAATCCAAAAATTAAGTTCGTGTGTTTAAAGTTACGGTAATGTTATTGACTATTTTACTGGCAAAACATTCTGAAAGGTTGGGCAAACCTGTTTTACCTGTCTTAAAGACTAAGGAAATTAAAGCTCAACGATCAAAATTGTTCAATTGATGTTCAACAGACCTGGCTCTACAACTCCTTTGATGATTCCGAACACATTCTCTGCTTTGGCCCTCTGGTTGCGAGACGTGACGTTCAGTTGAATTTTCCTAGGCAATAAAATGTGTTTAAAAAAATACAAAGATAAAAAAAATATCCGTCACTAAGGTGTGGTCAATAATTGTTCCAGTTTAAAAAAAAAAATGGTTCACGTTTTCCTCCCTCTAGAACAACTGTAATAGTTGTGCATTAATAAACTATACGCTATATAGCTACGTTTAAAGAATGTTTTATTGCTCCAGACGGATTTAAACAACAAAGAACAGCCCAAACAGCTAAGAGTATATTCAATAGTTGGGGTAAAAGCTAGAGAATAGTCAATAATCATGGTAAGAGCTGAGCATAGTCACTAGTTTGGGTAAAAGCTAGAGTTTAGTGAATAGTCAGGGGAACAGCTAGAATATAGTCAAAATCAAGGTAACGGCTAGAGCGTACGTAGTCAATAGTCAGGGTACCAGCCAGTATAGAAACTATTTAAGGGAACAGTGAATTAGAATTATATTATTCTACATATTTTCTCCCCCAAAATATAAATCAGCAGTTGGTAAACTTGTATGCGTGCTCGCCTTTGTTAATCTGATGACGCAAATTCAATTATTTTCCATTTTATAATGTGTTGTAGGAAACGATCAAACCAGAAACATTGCGTGGCCCGGAAACCACTACGGATACAGGAGCCCTCGGATGTTTAGGGCAAAAGTCGTCATATAGGGAAGAGGGAATTAATCAACTGAGCACGCATCGGAGACAATCCAAAATGTTGCAAGGGGGCCTATACAAGTCACACAATGCATAAATGAATGGTCAACAGTAGCATACATTCCATCCTGTGCAAATCCTGGCCCAAGTCTGTAGGTAACATTGATGCCGCCCACCCAGTCGTCGGGTACCAGTCTGCCATTCAGTTGTCTGTAAAAAATAAATAAATATGAAAACATAGCGTACATTTACATGTATATAAAGTATTGATATAATGGTTTCTAACACGATAAGATTCGATACAGAATGTTTTTGGCCGTGTTTATATTTCCTTCAAATAAATCGTTTTCATATTTGTGATAAGTACAGTTCTATTCAGTTACTGAATAATTTGAATTAGAAGGTTTCCAGAAACGTAAAAAAAAAAAACAGAAGAAGAAAAATATAACGTTGGAAAACACAGTCTATGCTCAATCATTAAGTGTCACTTGTGGAATTCATCTGGAAGTTCGCTTCCCGATATTTGTTCATCGCTGTTAGATAAAGTGATTTATTTCATCACTTGCGTCAAATCTTGGTTTCATTGTGTTAATATATGATTTTATTGTCTTCTTCAACATTGCTTCTAAAATTAAACACTATAAATTCCTGCATTGACCTCATTTTACCTAAGTATCTTTTCGGCAGCTCCGTAACCAATCGGATGTGAGGGAATTTTGGGTAGTGGCGGCTCCACTTCGTCTTCGGAGAAACGAAAAGCCAAATCTGAAATCCACATTATTTTTATTATTTTTCCATGTGAGGGAGGGGACAGAGCAGAAGTTAAAAAGCATGACGGAAATATTTATATTAAAATAAATTGTTTGTTTAATTTGTTGAAGAAATTTTAAAATGCTCTTTAAAAATATTTTTAGAAATTATCTAATATCACTTTTTCTCTTTGACTACTGAAACTAAGGTTCAGAGAGAGAGAAAAATTCAGTTAAGTTTTGATTTAAACATGCATCATAACCTTACTGTAACAAAAAAACAACAACACATTTTATGTTTGGACATAAATACTAAAAGTGACATCTAATACTTATGAAAATTAACCATATAAATAAGTAAAAATAATTGTTTTCAATGATTTTACGAATTCAATATACAAGTTCAAAATCGGTAAAATCGATAAATGTTTCATTAAGTTTGTTTTTAATTTTATTTATTTTTAATTTTTTATTTTGTCGGTGGGTTAAAAAAATAACAGAGTTTTTAGCATTTCTAAACTTCTTCAAATACAACCCTAAAATCATCAACTCAACATTATAAGATGGTAGTTTGATGGTAGTTTCATGATAGTTTGAAGCTACATATTTACCAATTTCACAGTTCTGACGTGTATATACTACATACATTCGATCATATAAATGTTTTATTGACTTACTATTGGCGGGGTACCCTGGGGTCAGGGGGTCACCAGCACCGGTGAAGACGGTTCCCCTCTGGGCCCCCGTGGGTGGCAGCCACCAGGTGTCGGGGTACACCCTCCGGTCGCCCGACTTCATCCCCGTGTAGTCGGCTGGGTCAGAGTACATGATGACCCCTACGGCACCATTGTCGGCAGCTATGTCTACCTGGTGAGAATGAAACAGTAGAGGTAGAAACACTACGATGAGGGACATTCCTAAACATGTTTACTTATTCAAAACTACTCGAACTTTCCCATGCCCTCAAACACTACTTAGGTCACCAAAACTGTGAGGTAGTAACATGCAGGGTCGGCCTTAGGCCCCTGCAACCTATGCGGCCGCAGTGGGCCCCGAACTTTTTTTTTCTAATACAAAATCTTAATTTTCACTTACTATCCCAGACTGGGCCCCGCGCAATCCGTTTCGTAGAGGGCCCCGCAATTGTTAGGGCCGGCCCTGGTAACATGGAACAACGAAACCGGTCAACTCAATTCTGGATTAATTTTATTTTACTTTACAACCGTTTGTTACCCAACGCCATGTCCTCAATAAACTTAGGTTTTACATTCACTTCCATTCAAATGCCAGTAAAATTATTTAAAAAAAACTAACAAAAAAAAAACTAACAAACCATGGGATAACATAAAATATATTTCTCAATTCTTATAAGTTTCTTTAAAAATCACCTTTGGAAACCTATTCCTTTCAAAGGTTTTAGACCATAATGTTACATCGAATATCTGGGGTTCATCTTAAAACATTCTCAGAATGTACGTTTTATGCATGTGAAAAAAGGTGTTGACATTAAATTAATAAATGAATTAAGATTAATATAGGAAATATTTAGTCTTATTTTATTCTTCCGACTCGGTGTAAATGACGAAAAAAACAACCAAAAAAAAACCCCCAACTATTTGTTGTCTATGTATATTTATAAACAAGACTTACTTTGTCTCCTCTGAATATCTTGCCATACTTGACCAGGACAAGGTGGCCCGTTACATTAATACCTAGACTCCTTAATGTGTCATAGTCCTCAACACGTCCATATCCGGCGAACACGATTTGACCCTTTAAAAAGAAAAAAAAGAAAAAAAGCTTTACAAACTAATAACTTCGTTAACTTAAAGCCATTTTATCTTCAAATTTATTTTTAAGTTTTACTTTTCCAGTTGTTAAAATTTAGATTAAAGTTTGATAACTCTTTATAAAATAGTGGAACGTTTTCAGCAGAATTTTATAGTACCACGAATACGATCGATGTTGTTGTTGCATAATACACAATTGTTACCTCAACCAGTTTGTTTGGAGAGTAAGCGTTAAACGGCGGCACCACGTCCTTTTCTTTGGAGATGTCACTCTCGTCATCTTTGGCATCGTAGACCACAGCACCGGTGGCGTTCAGAAGTCGGACACTGTTGGGCGTGGTTTCGCTCGGGTAGGACAGCAGGATGTCGTAGGGCGTGGTCTGCACGTGAAGACCGTGGTCTTTGAAATGTTTCTGTAGCAGGGCCACCAGCTCAAAATCGTTCTGTCTTCCTGCGATATGTGGCTTTTTAGTCAGTGCTCTGAAATGATACCAAAAAAAAAAACCCCAGCAATGTGTACCTATTTAAGCGTTGAAAAAAAATAAGTTGCCGTCAGAATCTTCAATTTCTCAGACACACCTCCATACTCTTCAATTTCCATCACGTATTTCTCTAGTAACAATTTCACGCCCTCCATAACATTAGCGCAGTAAGTATCTATATCGCTTACATCCTTGCACTCTATGACCCGATTCCCCAATCTCCCTCACTAACATGATCCCTGTCCCTCCCTCCTCTCAGTCCTAATCATTTTTATCTCCATCCCATATTTTTCCCCAAACTTTCCCCACCCCCATTTTCCCAACTCTACTCTCAACCTAGACTTTCCAAACTTTAATCTCAACCTAGACTTTCCCAACTGTAATCTCCACCTAGTCTGTCCAAACTGTAACATCAACCTAGTCTTTCCCAAATCTAATCTCAAACTAAAACTTTCCCAACTCTAATCACAACCTAAATTTTTCCAATTTTTATCTCAACCTAAACTTTCCCACTCTAATCTCAACCTAAACTTTCCCAATTCTTGCTCAATCTAAACTTTACCACCTCTTTCTCAATCTAAACTTCATCACCTCTTTCTCAATACCTTATTGTATTGCTACCCCTTCACTACGTTTATCATCTTTTTCCTCTCTGACCTCTTGCATTTCGTTCCTAAAGAAATGTTCCTCAGTGTCTGCCTATTTCCAGTCCCCCCCCCCCGTTCCCTATTACAGCCCTTTGCCCTTCCCATCTCTTTCGGTCACCTCAAGGAAACAGACTCACATCAAATAATCCTCTATGCGTTTGGAATCAATGCCATCCATAATCAACTTCGATACGCTGGGGTCAGCGTCACTGACCAGTCCTTGCGGCACACCAGGCAGGAAGACGCCGTCCCTGTCCTCGTCCTCGTCATCGCAGATGGCGAACTTTCCAACCAGCAAACCGATCGCCAGTCCCACAACTGCCGCAAGAAGTATCGCCACTATCAACGGAAGGATGCTGACGCCGAAGATGGTCTTTCCTGTAAATCTGCGGCCATCCGAATCGTGCAGGTAGGACGTGCTGGTGGAAGTCATTTTCTGGTAGTTCTGTTGGTTGGTAGCTTTAAAAAAAAAAAGGTTTAGCGGCAGTAAACATTAAATGTTCATGACCAACAAAGAAAATCAACGCGCTTATAAAAAATAAATCATTTCACAGTTATTAACTAGAGAAATGGATGGCAAGACAGAACGACAAGAGTTCTACAAGTGTGGTGAGCACCTAACATGAAATTAAAGCACTCAAATATTAGTTACGAAACAATTTATACCTTCATATGCATACTAGAACTATTGTACGTCAAAATTGACGGCTGTCGTAAATTGACCATCTTAGATTTAAGGTAATCAAATGAAAACATACAAATACATGGAAGCTAAAAAGAAATGTGTTATGAATTTTAAAAGTGCAAGGAAGACACATATTCTCAACATTAAAGCTGTTGCAAATCTCTGTCATTTTCAAGCAATTAATATTTTAGTTTATTAAAAACCAAATTTGAATAGGGATTAGCTGGATATTCTGAGTGTGTAACCCTGTGTCAAAAGGTTAGTTCCAGACATATGATTAAAATTCTATTATGCGTGATATATATGTCATTGGAAGCATAGCTATTAAAGGTACTCCCCTCCCCCACATCTTTTCCACTTTTAGCTATGTGGTGAATTTATGTATTTCTTTTTCTTTAAGAACTTTATGCTAATTTGTGTGTGACATTACGTCGCAATAATACCACAAAAAAAAAAAAAGGCAGGCTTGGCTCTACATTAAATATTGCTAGGATGCCGGATTGTAGATAGTGATATACAGACGGAAACCTAGGTTCAGACGGCTCACTAAGACTGAGATGGATCAACGATGTAGAGAAGGACTTACACCAGTTGGGGGATTTCGTGCATTGATGCGGACAGACATGGATCGGTCCGAATGGAAGGATGTGGTGGAGCAGGCCAGAGCCCTACATGGGCTGTAGCGCCACTGATGAGGATGTATGAATGAAAGGATTTGATGGAGCAGGCCAGGGCCCTACATGGGCTGTAGCGCCACTGATGATGCATGAATGAAAGGATTTGATGGAGCAGGCAAGGGCCCTACATGGCCACCGATGGTGAACATTTAGTGTTTTTTTTGTTTTCTTCTTTCGATACAAATATGTTCATTAAAGTGTCCCCACGCTTGTGAACCTTACCGGTGAAAGCGAATATATAACATAAATATTGTTAAAATTATTTATTTAAAAAAAATCTAATAACTATGTCTCCAATGGTTAAGATAGAATATGACGCCACAAATTGAGAGTGTTTAATAATACCAAGCCACGTTTCTGAAACTAGTCGCGTCAATAGCCTCACATAGATGTGTCATCAGAGATACATATCACCCCTGCGATATAGAACCGATTATGAATATATTTATTTATATATAAACCAACAACTTTAACTTACATGAATGTTAAAAATTTGAAGGTGATCGTACAATCCAGAGACAGTTGTTATTTCTCAGACAACACTCCCAGTGACAGGTCATCCCCTGAACCTGTCTATTGTAACACTCTCGCGTGCGTGTTCAGAGAACGGGTCACGGCGGTATGTTGGATTTTTTTTTTTTTCGAGAGCGTGTGTCTGTGTAATGGGGATCTTACAAACATCCGGGTGAAGCGAACTGTTACGCAGGTACAGCTCCGAACTTTGAACGGGGTAAGGAAACTAGTTGAAGTGTCAATAAATCCAAAGATGGCCGCTAGCCACGGTGAAACAAGGCGCAACGGGTTAATTTTAGTAGGGCGCACTCCAAACAGATTGTGTGAGAAATTAAAGAACTATTGTTTAAAAAAGTAAATGGGGGTAACTTTCGACATTTGTAGCTTCAGTGAATCACACGCGCCCTTTAAAATAAATATTTTAAAAAAATGTAATTGTCTGCTCTGTGAATTCAGACACTCCAACGGTTAAAACTCGGGGAAATTCGGTAAAAAGATACCAAACCGTTGTGTTGTATTCCTCTAAGTTAATGTGTGTTTCATCACTTTACGTGAACGGTAAGCCAAATAGAAAAAAAAATGGTTTTCCACACATTGGATCGTCCAAAAAAAAACTATGTCCAAACTGATAAATCTGCCATTATTCTGTCATTCTGTGGTAACTATCCCATTCTGTCAGTGTGATGCAGGAAACACGTTGCAATGTTGACTCCGCTCTATTGTATCAATTGATGTAATCTTACTTTTACTTGTACATTCCCAAAGTTATCACTTCTTTATTCTTACAAACTAAACAATTAAAAGTTATGGAAAGTTCCTTTTTCCAAAGAAATGGCCTGGACAAAATATCGCACGGAGATTTGTCTAAGTCGCGCCCTCCATAAAAGAATGCATTAGAACATTTAGGATATCCTGGGAATCTTTGACATGATTACGAGGGTGCCAAACGACAGACACGAACAATATCCCTACCAATTTGTTATTATTTTCGTAAAGGTAAGGGAGTTTGTACGTGACATTACTCTGGACTAGGGTTTCTCATTTTCCAGCGTTTCGGTTATCCCCGGAAAACGGTAATATAGTTTTCATCATCCCGGTATAACATTAATTTAATGACAAATATTTTATAAACCAAATTAAACTATGAAAGTGTTGATTTAAAATAAAAAAAAATATTGTATGGTTATTGTCTATTTATGAGTCAAAAGTGTAAGTTCATTTGAGAAGTTGGTAACTTGTTACAAGTTGCCTTTTCCCCCACGGCTTATCCCTGGCAATGGATAACAAGCTAATCATATCATTGTTAAGCTAAAGTCGGATATAACCAGCTGTAGAAAAAAACAGTTTTGCATTCTTTACAGGTCGCTAATTCTGGTTTCGAAACCGTCACTAAATTTTATGTGATAATCTTTAGATCGGACTTTAAGGTTAAATAAACGATAAAATCCCGCGTACTTCACAAAAGATCATTTTTTTTTTTAGCTAGTCCGCCCCCTGGCAGGGTTTTTTAAAATATGTATCGAGTGGCAGCATTTTCAGGCATCTCCCCGGGCGCCGTTTTCCTCGACATGACCCACTCAGGAAATAGCACATTTCATGTGAAGTGAAAAAATGATGCACATATTTGATTTGACCTATTTTTTCAGCAAAACCAAAATAAAAATCTTGAAGAATGTTTCAGACAAAGAGCTACAGCAGGCTACCCATGGCGCAGTCAGTCTCAAATGACAGGCGAATGTCAACATGCACAACAAATATCTATTTACAGCCGTCCTAAAAAAAAAATCGGTCTCGGCACAGGTAAGCCCTTCAATTTTAGATTCTAAAAGGCGTGTTGTTTTAATTAAATTATAGAACGGTATCAACATGCTAACATGGACAGAAAATAATAGATTTAAATTGTAACAACATGCTAACATGGACAGAAAATTATAGATTTAAATTATACATTTTATGGACGCCCTTAGTCACCCCAGTCTATAGTAAAATAGTGGCATTTTTAATATCAAAGGACCCATGCCGCATGGCCGAATAAAGTCTTGTAGGACCAGATAAAAGGCATTTTGGTGACCTGGTGACATCTTGTAGGACCAGATAAAAGGCATTTTGGTGACCTGGTGACATCTTGTAGGACCAGATAAAAGGCATTTTGGTGACCTGGTGACATCTTGTAGGACCAGATAAAAGGCATTTTGGTGACCTGGTGACATCTTGTAGGACCAGATAAAAGGCATTTTGGTTACATGGTGACATCTTGTAGGGCCAGATAAAAGGCATTTTGGTGACCTGGTGATATCTTGTAGGACCAGATAAATGGCATTTTGGTGACATGGTGACATCTTGTAGGGCCAGATAAATGGCATTTTGGTGACATGGTGACATCTTGTAGGGCCAGATCAAGGCATTTTGGTGACTAGTGACAACTTGTAGGACAAGATAAATGCAATTTGTAGACCTGTTGACATCTTGTAGCGCCAGATAAAGGCATTTTGGTGACCTAGTGACATCTTGTAGGACCAGATACAAGGCATTTTGGTGACCTGGTGACATCTTGTAGGACCAGATACAAGGCATTTTGGTGAACTGGTGACATCTTTTAGGACCAGATACAAGGCATTTTGGTGACCTGGTGACATCTTGTAGGACCAGATAAAAGGCATTTTGGTGACCTGGTGACATCTTGTAGGGCCAGATCAAGGCATTTTGGTGACTAGTGACAACTTGTAGGACAAGATAAATGCAATTTGTAGACCTGTTGACATCTTGTAGCGCCAGATAAAGGCATTTTGGTGACCTAGTGACATCTTGTAGGACCAGATATAGGCAATTTGTACACCTGGTGACATCTTGTAGAACCAGATATAGGCAATTTCTACACCTGGTGACATCTTGTAGGACCGAATCAAGGCTTCATGAAATATTAAAAATCTTTTAGGATCGAATTAATGCTTCAGGGGATCTGATAACTCGGTGCATAAACAAGAAAAAACAAGAACGAAGTACAGAAGCTCCTCATTCCTGCCGAAGACAATAGGGGACTGGAACAAGCTCCCAAAAGCAACAGTTGAGGCGGCTACACTCGATACATTTGTGTCTATTGCCTCCTGTATTCCAACCCCCAGTTCATAACACCACTGCTGAGTCGCCCTTGCAACCAGTGAAGTATCCCATTGAAACCCATGGACAGTAACATCGCAAACCTCTCTGAAACATAGGAGCCAGAATGATCAATTCATTGATCGTGGGCCCTTAAAATAAAGAAGAAGAAGAAGAAGAAACATCGGGCGCCATGGAGATCTGGATATCATTGATCATAAAACAATCTATTGGTCATGAAACAGCCGACTTGTCATAAAACAGCCGGCTAGTCATAAAACAGCCCACTTATCAAACAACCCACTTGTCATCAAACAACCCACTTGTCATCAAACAACCCACTTGTCATCAAACAGCCCACTTGTCATAAAACAGCCCACTAGTCATAAAACAGCCCACTTGTCATAAAACAGCCCACTAGTCATAAAACAGCCCACTTATCAAACAACCCACTAGTCATAAAACAGCCCACTTATCAAACAACCCACTAGTCATAAAACAGCCCACTTATCAAACAACCCACTTGTCATAAAACAACCCACTTGTCATAAAACAACCCACTTGTCATAAAACAACCCACTTGTCATAAAACAGCCCACTTGTCATAAAACAGCTCACTTGTCATAAAACAGCCCACTTATCAAACAACCCACTTGTCATAAAACAACCCACTTGTTATAAAATAACCCACTTGTTATAAAACAGCCCACTTGTCATAAAACAGCCCACTTGTCATAAAACAGACCACTTGTCATAAAACAACCCACTTGTCATCAAACAGCCCACTTGTCATAAACAGCCCACTTGTCATAAAACAGCCCACTTGTCATAAAACAGCCCACAGCCCACTTGTCATAATACAGCCCACTAGTCATAAAATAGCCCACTGGTCATAAAAGATCCAACAGCTCATGCTCCGTCCAAACAGATACGCTCTTACTGGTTTGTTGCACAAAAATATTTTAAAGGAATTTTTTACACTTGATATGGGAAGGCATTTAGCCGATACTATAGTTGTTTTTTCTCTTTTTTCCAGCCTTTCCACGAGGCGTGACTCAATTTCCCTTTATGCAGCTCAATCTCTCGAGTATAACAATTTCGTTTAATCTGAACGTGTTCTAAAACTTGAAATGCTAATGCTATGATTACACAGTTGTTTTCACAGTTTAAGGATCTCTGTAAGCTAATACAGTGTTGATTTTACGTTTAAAATACAGACCAGTTTATCGCTACGCTTTCGCCGTAGAAAATGTTTTTAAGCCTAAATTTTACGTAGACGACATTTTTACGCCACATTTCCCCCTGCTGTCAACTCTAGCAGACAACAAGCTCAACACCGCATTTAAGGTGTGGCTAGCTAAAAATAGGATCTTGACCTAAATAAAATTAATAGCCTGTTCTATTAGAATTTTGTAGAAAAATCTGGAGTTAACTGGAAAGGAAAACAACGTGTAAGGCGGTTCCAGTTGCATCAGTAGAATGGACTATAAAAAGGGGACACGATAGATTTTTGGGCAGAGTATTTTGTCGCGAGAGGTTTTACTTTACGGGACGACAGACGAGTTATTTTTAGAGTGTGTTATTCTTGCTAGAGTTTTGTTTATTTATATGTGTGAATTCCTATTCATCGTTGTACTGTTTGCACATTGTGCTATCATCAACCTTGTACCGGTACAGGAAAAAACAGTTCTCTTTAAGTTAATGATTGTAATTATATTTCTTTTATTTTGTAATTTATTAGTAACGTAATAAAACGTATTAATTGTAATTAGCCCTGTTTCGAGTTTCGTATTTTTCGGTTAGTTTTTATCAATTGGTATCGTCTTTTGTTATGCACTGTTTTGGGAACGAGCCATACCCTTAAATAGGAGATTAAAATCTCCCTATAGACAGCAGGGCGTAACACTAATACTAAGGCACTATGATGAGCCTAAAAAAAAAAAACTACGGTTGTTGGAGTTACTTCATTTACTTGGTTAATTGTTACTAAAAAATAATTGGGTACCTTTTAGTAAAAAAGTCTCCACACTTTCTGAGTTTACACCGCAAACCAGCGTCGCGACCCCTTTGGGGGTTGAACGACTCTTTGACAGGGGGTCACCTAAGACCATCGGAAGACACATACACTCCAGAGTTATGAAGTGGCAACGAAAATGATTTTGTAGTTGGGGGGTCGCCACAACACGGGGAACTGTAATAAAGGGTCGTGGCGTTAGGAAGGTTGAGAACCACTGCTGTAAGCAATCGAATAAGAGCGACATCCTTCAACAAATCGGAGAACAATAACTTGCAGGGGCTGTTTCAGATTGAGCGGCCCACGACGTCTTTGTTTTGGATTCACTCCCCTTATTTTTTTCGTATTTTTTGTTAAAAGAGTTACATTTTCGGAATTAAAATTTTATTGGTTGATTAATTATAATTGTAAAATTTTCATTGGTTGGCTCATTATCATATTTCGGTTGTTCCGCCATATTTGATGTCTTTGGGTTGCCTGTGGGGTGTGGAGATTTATTCATTTTGTGGCTATATTTTCCTTGGAACATGAAATAAAGTGTGTAAAAGTGTATTTCATGAAACTGTAATTTGGATTTTCATTATTTCTTCAGTTTATAATTATTTGGGGCCCTTTTTAATTGTTTTTTGTTAATTTATATAGTTTTCTTGCCAAAGTGTGAAATTCCCCATGTTTTCGCTTGTGGATTTACGGCTAGTTTTGAGGGTTCAGGTTATGCTTAGGGATCGATTTAGGGTTAGGGTTAGGCATAGGGATCGATTTAGGGTTAGGGTTAGGCATAGGGATCGATTTAGGGTTAGGGTTAGGCATAGGGATCGATTTAGGGTTAGGGTTAGGCATAGGGATAGATTTAGGGTTAGGGTTAGGCATAGGGATCGATATAGGGTTAGGGATAGGGATAGATTTAGGGTTCTGGTTAGGCATAGGGATCGATTTCAGACAATTTTTTCATACATTTTAAAATTTTTGTTCCAAATTTTAGCAAACGTGAATTATTTTATTTTTCCATTGCCGCCATCTTGGTTGCCTCGACCCATGAACACGTAAAAGTGGGCGGGTCGAGGCAACCAAGATGGCGGCCATGGAAATAGACTCGGGCCGCTCTCTCTTAAATTACGCTTGTAGGTTTCCTTATGTTAACTTTTATAAGTAGCTGAGTGGATTCCCTGACACAAGATGTATTTTGAATGTAAACATTCTCCCAGAAACACTAATTGACCAGACTACTCCTTGGAGCTTGAAATTACGTTTTTTGAGAGTTGAAAACTGCTATGACACTAACCCGGGGATAAACAGGTCTGAAATGTATCAGACTTCTGCTAATTGCTTTGTTAATTTAGCCGATCATTTTGACTGACTTACTCAGAATGACATTGTCCAGAAAGGTACCCCGTTTCCCTTGCTGGTGCTTGTAAGACATCTTGGACTTTCTGTACAATTCAGTAGACACGAATCACTTGAGCCTGACTAACTCAAAGTCTTTCACTTTGACTTCACTGAAAATCACGAGACATTTGAGATCGGGATCTCGTGCAACTACAGTTGGCTCGGGGGGGGGGGGGGGGGTCAACCTGGTAGCTTGAATCTGATTACTGGTAGCGCAACGTCGCCTACGTATTTCGTTTCTTAATGCCATCGAGACATTTGAGATCGGGATCTCGTGCAACTACAGTTGGCTCGGGGGGGGGGGGGGGGTCAACCTGATAGCTTGAATCTGATTACTGGTAGCGCAACGTCGCCTACGTATTTCGTTTCTTAATGCCAGTGACTTTTTAATAGTATATAATGAACTTTTTTAATGTGTTAAAATTAGATGCATTTCACCACAAAGTCTAAAAATCGTATTTGCTGAAATTTTACCATAACAAAGCAGATTTGAATGGCAACCTATTTGATTCGTGGGCCACTTTAAACAAATGTTTAACTCCATAGCCCCTCCCTCCATGTTCTTAATATAAAAATATATATGTTTATTTTACATACATATTTTGTTTAAATAGTTTTTTGTGGCCCCTAAGAAATTAGATGTGCTTACCGGGGGGGGGGGGCTATGTGGCCCATTTTGAGAAACGCCGAGTTAGTAGATAACATTCCTAACACATATTTCATCATAATACGTCATCATCTCCTCTTGCCAGTGGTTTGCGCTTCAGCATGATAGACTGTACCTTCCTCCCTTCACACTTCTCGCCTACTTATTAAATTGCTGTTGTAACGATAAACACAAAGGCTTCGTCTAAGGCGGTCTAAATGAACTGGGACATGTCTAACACGGCCAAGTTAAGGAACGCATATACAGGAGGGCCTCGATGGTCCGAACTACTTGGGACTAGCTTTCCGGCGTGTCTCATACAGACATAATGCATGCTCCACGCCATGCACGTAGCGTTTTATTAGGTAATTATAATGGGCAGGTAAGATAACCCACGTTTGGGAATGATCTGCGTTCGGATACCGACGCTCTACTTTACTGCGTATGTTGAAACGAAGGCGTCATTTTCCGTTTGGCTGGTTTGTCCACTTTGTGGGTCATTGGACACATTAAAGAAACGAAACTTTCCGTGCGCTCAAATGCGGATGTTATTAACAGACACGTTAAAACATAGTTTACGAAAACACCACGCTAACTTCTTCACTCGTGTACACGTCAAACAGCTCTGTTGTTATGGCCTGGACGGAGAGCTGCAATCCCGGATTTGGACTCTGGACTTTTTCATATTGATATCGCTACTTCCTAGAAACGTTTTCAGATTTTTAAAAGTTTTATTTCAGTTTAATGTTGCTTTTTGATCGCCCAAAATGTTATGTGGTTGTCTTTGGAAGAAAAAAAAAAGATCCTTAAATTGCCAATATCATCTTCTTTACACAGTTGGAAAGCCGTTCCATTTCAATTGAAATAATCAGATTTAGCATTGCCTTCAGTAGAAAAATATGAGGCCATAAGATATGGATTGAGAGTCATAGTTCTCTACCACAGAGGCGTAGCAGAGGGGGGGGCAGGGGGACGGATGTCCCCGGGCGCCAACTAGTTAGGGGCGCCAAAATGTGCTTTGATATTATTTTATTGATGAAAATAACGGGCTTGAGAGTTGAAAAAAAAGAAAAAAGGGGCGCTTTAAAATGGATCTTGTCCCCGGACGCGAATCTTTCCCGGGCGCCCAACACCCACGCTACGCCTCTGTCCTACCATGCTCGCGCGAAGGAAAAATGGCGCCCGGGGCAAAAACTTAAAATGGTGACACTCTCCCGCCCTCCCCCGGTTAGTCAATAAATGATTTATATAAATTTTAAAGACAATGTCGGCGCCGCCGGTCTTGGTGCCAGGGAATAATTCCCCCTCCCCCCTTGACACAAACCCCTCCCCCCAATTCGCCATTGCCTATCTCACACTACTTACTTGCCCCTTGTTGTGCTCTTGCTGTAAATACTAAGCATACACCACTGTCAGAAGTTGAATTATTACACAATGTTGTTCATCTTCTTTCCGTATATACATCTTTTGTAACGGTTTTGTAGCCGTTGTTAGAATGGTTATATATCATCAGACTTGTTGCAACGTATCAAATCCCCGGGACGCACTGGGCAGGCGGTCGAGTGATGGTTGTAAAAAAAATATATATATTTATGAAGGCTTCTCATCACTGTAAAACAAAACATTTTTTCCCAACAAACTGTGCCTAAAGGAAACATTGGAATGACACGGTATTCATCGTTCGTATGCCCTGAAGTTCTGATAGTGGGGCCTAAATGGAAACATCGGAATGACACGGTATTCATCGTTTGTATGCCCTGAAGTTCTGATAGTGGGGCCTAAATGGAAACATCGGAATGACACGGTATTCATCGTTCGTATGCCCTGAAATTCTGAGAGTGGGGCTTAAATGGAAACATCGGATTGACACCGTATTCATCGTTCGTATGCCCTGAAGTTCTGAGAGTGGGGCCTAAAGGGAAACGTCGGATTGACACGGTATTCATCGTTCGTATGCCCTGAAGTTCTGAGGGTGGGGCCTAAAGGAAACATTGGAATGACACGGTATTCATCGTTCGTATCCCCTGAAGTTCTGATAGTGGGGCCTAAATGGAAACATCGGAATGACACGGTATTCATCGTTCGTATGCCATGAAGTTCTGAGAGTGGTGCTTAAATGGAAACATCGGATTGACACCGTATTCATCGTTCGTATGCCCTGAAGTTCTAAGAGTCGGGCCTAAATGGAAACATCGGATTGACACCGTATTCATCGTTCGTATGCCCTGAAGTTCTGAGAGTCGGGCCTAAATGGAAACATCGGATTGACACCGTATTCATCGTTCGTATGCCCTTAAGTTCTGAGAGTGGGGCCTAAATGGAAACATCGGAATGACACGGTATTCATCGTTCGTATGCCCTGAAGTTCTGAGAGTGGGGCCTAAATGGAAACATCGGAATGACACGGTATTCATCGTTCGTATGTCCTGGAGTTCTGAGAGTGGGACCTGAATGGAAACATCGGATTGACACGGTATTTATCGTTCGTATGCCCTGAAGTTCTGAGAGTGGGACCTAAATGGAAACATCGGATTGTCACGGTATTCATCGTTCGTATGCCCTGAAGTTCTGAGAGTGGGGCCGCACTTACAAGTTCATAAAAGTTAAGGGCGGGACTGACATTACTTATGTCATTGATAACGACGACATGTTGTTATTTTCTGTTGTTTTTTAATCTGGTAATTTGAGTCTTTATTATAGGGGGCAATAAACAAACGGCCTTATAACATAATGAAAGAATAATCCGTTCATCTTTCCATCTCCCATCATAAATCAGAGGCGTAGCTAGAGTGTTTGACGCCCGGGGAAACGCGGTTCATTTTAAAGCACCTTGCTTTCTTTTTCAACACTCAAACCCATTATTTTCATCGGAAAAGATAATATAAAAGAGCACATTTTTGGGCCCCAACTAGTCTGGCGCTCAGAGACATCTGTTCCCCCTGCCCCCCGTTAGCTACGCCTCTGTCATAAACTGCCATCTCCTTGGGGTTTAACTGCTGCGAACGTGAAAGAATAGTTAAAGAATTACGCCGATGGACGCCTGTTTATTAGACATTTGGTTTTATTTCGTCGCTTTTGTCTTTAAATCTTTTTATTCTTTTTAAATTGCCAACTCGTGTCTCTACGCAACTATTTTTACAGAGATGGCAAACCCTTTTTAAAATATACCATTCTTGGATTATTTAAATGACATAACAATCACATTCGATGAAACCTGTTTCTTACAATATTTAGCTAAAATTTAGATTGTAATTTGTTTTCCTCAACACACAAAAAAAAAGTAAAATAAAATAAAAATGGATTTTTTATAAAAATGCTGACAATTTTTATATTTGGCTTTCGTTTTTTACACGTCTCACAACTTAACGACCAGATGGCACTTAAATTTATCTATACACAAATTAAACATCATGAGACTCAAGCGAAGAGGACGTCAGGAAAGAACTGATATGTCAATATATCATCATCGGTTTTGACATCATTACAAATAATCCGAATTATCCTGGGTTGTTTAAATGAAGTTCAACCTCTCATTGAAGTGTTCATATGAAGTAGAACTTCAGTCCACTATCTCCTGCATTAATTTATGGCGCTGTGACCCGCTTGAAGAACTCGGCTAAAAAAAGTTTGACTGCGATGGTACTTTGGAATAGCATCGTGATAGATGCGTGGACAGTGAATGAATAGATGCGTGGACAGTGAATGAATAGATGCGTGGACAGAGAATGTGTCCAGTCCACGCATCTATTCATTCTCTTTCCACGCATCTATCACGATGCTATTCGTGGAAAGAGAAATGAAAAGGTGCGTGGACAGTGATTGAATAGATGCGTGGATGGTGTATGATAAGATGCGTGGACTGTGAATGAAAGATACAGATGCGGGGACAATAAATGAATAGATGCGTGGACAGTGAATGAAAAGATGCAGGGACAGTGATTGAAAAGATGCTCGAATAGTGAATGAATGGACGTGCACAGCGACTGAAAGAAATAGATGCGTGGACAGTGAATGAATAAATGCTTGGAAAGTGAATGAAGGATATAGATGCGTGGGCAGTGAATGAAAGGAATCACTTCAAGGTTCTTTATAGCATAAACATGGACTCAACGACTCAGAATGACACATTTTAAACATTAAATTATGGGGGGGGGAGGGGGAGAGTTTATTTTTTGTTTCACCAATTGTGATTCCACGTGACCGGAGTGGGCTTTATATAGCCTTCGGTATATTTGACAAGCCACTTTAGTTTGAACATTTGAGCACGGTGAAACAAATCAAATGTTATTAGTTTGAATACCCATATAATTATATTTTACAATTATGTCATAAAATATTCAAACTATATTTCATGCGCAATGCAAATTAGAGACCGACCGAATGTGATTTTTCTGATTTCAACCGAAGCCGAAACAAGGCCGAAACTTAAAAAAGTACTTTCGGCCAAAACCTAAGCCGAATTTAAAAGTTTAACGAGACATTTGGCTGAAACCGA